AAAGCTATCAAGCCTCGGCATGATATTAATCACGAGTCTGACTTCCCCTCTGTGAGGAAAGGCACCGATGGCACTTCTCATATGCGACCACGGCAAGAATTAAGTCAAATGAGATGAGCAAACACGAGGGATGCCTGGCAGATACCTGAGAAGTGTTTACTCTTCACTTTCAACTCTGCAAATGGTATAACTTACAGACCAGCCAAAGGTCACTGCAAACCTTAAACTGTGTCCCAACCCCTCGATCATTCATTTTTCTATTTATTCACTTATTTAACAAATGTCTAGTAAGGGCCTAATGCTACACCAGACTCTGAAGACCCAGATGGAATGAGGTACATAATAGGTAAAAGTTCCTGCCCTCCTGGATGTTAGAATTTAATTCCCAGCCTTCCTCATCTCTTTCTTGACGAGTTGAGCACAGCATCCTCGGTGTTTCTGGGAATAAACCTCTATTTCTCTTTTTTCCCCATAAAATAAGGCAGTTGCTGAGACCATCGTGGTAAATGACTGTGTTGATTCTGTGAAAAAAGAAGGCCACACTGTGCCACCTGAATCCTGTCCAGGGCAGGCCCTGCACTAGCCAATAACAGGCTGTCAGGGTGTCAGCTAAAGCAGCCCTTCCTGAATGTCTGCCTGCAGACAATGGGACTCTTGTAAGCCAGGGCACCAGTAGCTACTTGGGATGGTTTCCAAACAAACCTTGTGAAAATAATAAAGCAGCACTCCAGAACAGTTGCCCTGGGAAAAATGGGCGTGTAGTATGTACGGGAGCTCACATACACGGAGCCAGGACGTGTCCCCAAATTAAATGAATCCACCTGGAGAGGAGATTGGCCCCTGATAATAGCTACACTCACATGAGCTTCTTTAATGTCAGACCCCCAGAGAGGTCAAAGCACTTTATAAATAAGCAGAGCTGAGTCAACAGAAGAACTGAGTCCCCTTACACTCAGTCTGACATTCTACATGGTTCTGTCCCTAAGAAGAATGGTTATGAAGAATGGTTATGTTTTTCCCTGTGCAACACACTGGATCCAGTCAGAATAGTTCCCATAGAAAACTTAGAAAAGCTTGCAGTCATCATAAAGTCACAATTATCATAACGATAACAAAATTCTGCAGTAAAGTCATACGTCTGTCTTCCATTATCTCTTTGTGCCTCACAGCAACCAGCCAGGCAGAATAGGTTTCATACGAAGGGACAGAGAAGAAAACTGAGGATCAGAGAAGACAAGTGCCTTATATAAAGATGCACAGCTTTTAAGAGGAAGTAGCATAAAATAGACAAGAACAGTTCTGAGGATGCTGAGACCAGGGCTCTTTTGCCCTTCGTGTTATCTTCAAAGATCTTTCTCTGTTTATCACAGAGTTTGAATCTGCAATGCCTAAAAGAGACATAGACCAGCTACTGAGCCTTTTAAAGTTATTTTCCTTCTTTTTTAACCAAAAAGAGCAATACTCTGATTTTGAAGGCGTTACTATAGGATTGCACATAAGCGTGACATTTTCGTGTCGGTTTATAACATTGCAGAGTCAAAGAATGTTCACTTACTGATTTAAAAGCAGACACAGAGACTGAAGGAGAGAGATTCAAAGTGGCACAGCTGTGATACAGGAAGTCAAGCCCTTGTCAGTGGGACAAGAAAAGATCAGTCTGGCTCTTCAATCGGTGTGAGGTTTCTGCTCCGATACTTTTTCTCCCACTTCCTTGGCTGGTAGAATATACGTTTGGTTCTTTTCCTAAATCATTGACCGACTATCTTCTTACTTCCTCGTAGAACACTGAGTTATGGTAACAATGCAATACTCGTTGATTGCAAGTATCACTGAATATTTGCTATAAGTAAAGAATATGCTAACTCAGATAAATCAATGATACTTAGCATTTATAGAGGACATCTAGATACTATCTTAAGATTGCACATGATTAGCACTACCTTTACAAAGAAAAGTCTCTAAGACATTAGTAATGTCAGCTAGAAATATGAAGCAGAAGCACAGGGAGACTAAGGTGCTTGTCCAAGTTCACTACAAGCAACAGCTCTGGAATTTGAACCCTGGAAATCCAGCTCCACAAAGTAACTAAATGCTCAGGATGGGGAGGTGGCAGGTATCGGGGGTGATTTTTGTGTATTTGTTCTGTTTGTACTCAGAACCTCCTCAGAGAGAGAAAAGAAAGGTTTGTTGATCTCATCTCTCCATTATCTAGCATAACACCAGAAAATTAGGACTTCTTGGTAAAGGCCCAAAATCTTATAAAGGGAAGAAGGTCAGTCCTTGATGGCAGAAACACTTCTACACTGCCTCTGACTGGTTTCAGGCTGAGAAATAGGGGCACGAGGATCCCGTGGGTCTAACTGGCCTGGCCATTAGACACCCTCTGGAACATCTTAAGACACTGAATACACATATTAGAGTCATGACAAGCCCTACTCTGGTATCCAACTAAGCGATGATATCGGAAAGACTCAGTTGTTTTTAAAGATGGTAAAAAGGCCTGGAGACACCAGGGCAGCCCACAGAAGCCGCTCAATAGAGGACGGATTTGTAAATGAGTGATGGAATGATTCACTCTGCACAGAAAGAAAAGATGCCAGCCTTTTAAAAGGCTCATTGTGGGATTGACATCTCCGAATCTTATCCTTAGATAAGATTGTATATCTAAGGATATACAATCAGTTGTAATATCTTTCTATAGCTATGTCATGGGGTGGGGCATTTATCTAAATTTCTGCAAGGAAGAATTTGAATATTATAAGGAAGCCAGAGGCACTGACTGATGAGGGATCAACTCTTGGTGCTGCTGGGTCACTTCTGTCCAAGTCGGAGAAATATTTGAACACAACAAACATATGTCCATATTCTGGCTGACTTACATCCAATCTGAAAAGGAGCTTTCATAGGGAGGCCACACGCACTGAGGACTTCTGCCAGGAAAGTCCCCATTCCTTATACTTTCTGAGTCTTTCGAACACTTTGCACATGAAAGGGTTCAAAGGAGGCAAAGCCGTTATCGTAGTCATGGTCGGATAGGAGGGCTGTGAAAGTCTTTAGTTTCCACTCTAACACACACACACACCCTCCCACCAGTGCATCTGCCTGGGGTGTATCTTAGTCCTTTTTTGTGCTACTCTAGCAGAGTAGCTGAGATTTATAAAGAACAGAAGTTATTCGCTCACAGTTCTGGAGGCTAAGAAGTCCAATATCAAAATGCCAGTGTAGGGCAAGGATCATCACGTGGCGGAAGGCAAGAAGGTGAGAAGGTTGAACCAGCCCTTTTAGATCACTTAGTAAATATGATTTGTCAACTAATTTTTCCTTTGTTATATAGCAAACATGACGACTATAGCCTAGGATGAAGGAGGGAAGATGAGAGAGAGGGGAAGGGACGAGGGTGGGTCAATAGAGGGAGGGTTAGTAGGGGGACCACACCTATGGAGCATATTGCAAGTTCAAGTTGGATCTATCAGGCATAGAACACAAATGTCTTAATGCTGTAATTGGGTAAATGAGGTGAAGGCTATGTTGATTAGTAGGATGTAAGCACTCCAATTCGTACAAATAATCAACACATTGAATCCCATAATGACATAAATGTATTTATGATCTATGTACAAATGACTTAATAAAATAAATAAATAAATAGAAAAAAGAGAGAGAAAAAAATCTGTAAAAACTTCTTTTTTAATATTTCTGTAATAGTCAAAATATACATAATTAATGTAGCCTGATTCCTTATTGCTAAACATTTAGACCATTTTAGGGTTTTTAAAGACCATTTTTGATTTTTAACAGTTATAAATATTACTGGTATAAATCCCTTTATGCAAACATCTTGGACTGAAATATGAGCTCTTTAGTTGGGACAGATTCCCAAATGTGAGAAAGCTCTTTTTCTATTATTATTTAATGTAGCTTCTTTCCTTGAAATTAAGACCCTTCCCCACCACCACTATCCCAGAATCATTTCTTCTGCCTTGTTTCTAAACCACGGAGTCAAGTTATTTTTGCAAACGTCTGTATTCTAGGTATAGGAATTAAGAGTAGGAAGAGCTTGGGGTTTGGAACCAGAAAATATAATAGGTTCATACACCAGCTTACTTCTCATTCATGGGGTAATTCTAGCATATTACTTGAGGCCTTCAGCTTTTGTTTTCTCACCTGGAGAATGGAACACTAATAGAGCCTCCCTTGGAAGAGTGATGCAAGGATTAAATCAGATGAAACATGTGATGAGGGCTTTCTAAGCCATCATGTGTTCTAGCAGACGTCAGTTGCTGTTACCTTTCGACATGCTACCAGATTTAGGAAACTTTAAAAAGGATATAAAAAGAGAGAAAACTGATTTATGTTGATCTGCTTTCTTGATCAAATAAAACCCAAGCCTTTCCTTTAAAAAAAAAAAAAAAAAAAAGTTAAAAAGAATTTAAAAGCCCTTGGGAGAAATAACAGCTGTCAATAAAACATTTCTCAAGTCTACCAAGCTTCAGCATCATCCTGGAGATTTTGCAAGCTTTTGCTCACATGTTGAACACACACATCTGAATGTCTTCACTCGGAGGCGGGTCAGAGAGCCAGTGGAGTCAGCCCACCCCAGCCAGTGCAGGAGAACCTCAGAGGCCACAGCTTAGTCCCTCCTCCCTCAGGGCGGGACAGTTAGCCCAGGCTGTGACTGGCCCCTGCTCTTCACTGAGGGACATTTAATGGTGAAGGAGGATGCTGAAAACAGGAGACCAGAACACAGGGAGAGGAGAAGTGAAGAGAGAAGGGTGCTCCAGCCTCCACCAGGGCAGAAAAGATTCGGGACAGACAGAACAGTGAGAGGCCGGGAAAGGGCTCACCATCAGGTCTGTGGAGAGACGACTTAGGCTAAAGACAAGTTTCCAGGGTAGGGCTCATCCTGCAGTGGACAGAAAAGCCGTCATTCTGTGGTCCAATCAGAGGCAAGGGTTAGAAACTTCAGGAGTCAGCCCAGAAATCCCAGGGATTCAATGACAATGAAGCTTGAAGAAAAGTGTGGGGACAATAGGATCCCTGTGGGAAGGGGTCAGCCTCACCTGGGTGAGACGCAGCAGGCAAACGGGAAAGCAGGCGCAGCCGCAGGTGCGGGCGCTGAGGTCTGTGCGAAGCAGGAGGCCAGTGGGAAGCGGGCCGTGCCCGGCAGAAGCCTCAACACGTACAGCTGGCAGGAGGTGCAGAGACACAACCGGGAGGCCGACCAGTGGCTGGTCATCGACCGCAAGGTTTACAGCGTAACTGGCTGGGCAGACAGGCACCCAGGTGGGCGCCGGGTCCTCAAGCACTGTGCGGGGGAAGACGCCACGGTAAGAAATTCTCTCTTTGTCTCCCTAAGCTGCTGAGTGACTGAGGTCTTGGCTGTCTTCCCAAAAGCGTTCAAGTACATGTTTAGGCTCCACGATCGCTCATCTCCTCTCAAACCAATTTTTCAGGATTCCTATGTAGCAAGAATTTGGAAGCAAATTCAGTCTGCAGGTCTGGCTGTTAGCTGCACCCAGTTTGGGATGAGTTCAGGTATGAACAGTAAATACCATATTTATGTATTCTAGGTTTCGTCTTGTACTTGGTGTTTTGTTTTGCTTTGTTTGGAAGTTGAGTCACTTTCTTGTAAGAGAAAAAGATGCAAAGAGGTGAGCAAAATCTGGGAGGGAAAAAAAGAACATCTGCACCCAAATAGAAATTACTAAGACTCTTGTAAATGGGGATCTAAAAGAAAAAAGCAATTCAGCCAGTGGGCAATGAAAATGCTGGGTATAATGATGAAAGCCTGCAATTACCTAGCCTTTGAAAGCTTAGGAAGCTCTTTTGCAGTTCACTCAGTGTGATAGAGGTGACACAGCCCGCTTTTATGTACACATTCAAATGCATCAATTTGCTTAACACCTATCCATGAGGAAGGTGACTACTGCTCTCATATTACAAATGAGAAAATTAATGTTCCAGGAGGTAACACTGGGACACACAGCCAGCAAGTGGCAGTGCCACATTTTGGAGCGAGGTTGGTTTTACCATAAAATCCTATATACCTGGATCCTTAAAAAATCCTAAAAACTTTTCACCGATTATTTGGTTAGGAAATCTCTCCCATCTTAAGTACACTTAATATTTGGTTTGGAAAGTTCTCCAATCTTAAGTACACTTAAGAATCCCTTTCAAAAATATTCCATGAGGGGTACAAGTGAATCTTTCTATGAGTAGAACATGAACGTTTTAACACAATAACTAAGAAAGTTACATGAAGGCTATGTTAACCAGTTTGATGGAAGTGTCTCAGATTGTGTGTGAAAACACCACACTGTACCC